CAAAACCACGACGTGATTATGGAGACACCGTAGTGGAGGACTCGGGGAAATTTCGACTATCTGCAGGGTGTTCTTAGGCGTGCAGTGACGTCGCACAGTGGACAGGCCATTCCGCCTCCATTGATATGCGACCGCCACGGCCGGGATCGAACCCGCGACCTTCGGGTCAGCAGCCGAGCAGTTCCACCCAGGCGGACAACGTACTCTTTGAAACGGTCAAGTAAAAATGTACCGGCACTAGCGCCATCTCGGCGGGGATACAGCAAGCACGGCAAACAATAGGGCTGGAGAGTTCATTGCCGGAAATTTCAAAAGCAGAATATTTATTTATTTATTTTATTGCAATACCTACAGCGCCTTTCGGCATTGCGGTTAGGGAAGGACAAGATTAACATAGCTAACCAGAAGCAGGTTATGAAGAATAAGAAATAAAAAGGTAGTAAATAAATATCCGTTCTTTTTTCTCGTGCTTTTGTAGTTTAAATTTCTCTGTTTCGCAGTAATCCTTCTTGGCAGCCAAAGGTATCTTATTTTATAATATATGTACTGTGTATCTCAGTATATTGTATTCTGAACTCTATAGAATGTACGACATCATTTTTATATACGTTTAGAGATAATCATCATCATCATCATCATCAGCCTGACTACGTGCACTGCAGGACAAAGGCCTCTCCCATGTTCCGCCAGTTAACCCGGTCCTGTGCTTGCTGCTGCCACTAGTGCTTATTCGTGCCAGTGCAATCGGTAAATGTCGTGGAAGGGAAGAATACGGTCACAGTATCTGGATGTAACTGCTTTCGGACGCTGTGTAATGTGATTCTGTTGAATACCGCCGAAGCCTTTTTGCGGATGCGAGTTCTCGGAACTTTTCGTGGCCACCGCGTGAGTGGCCGCGCCAATGCTGGTGTTGGGCGGCACGGCTATATACTTGCCGAGCTAGCGGCCGTTTTCGAATGGAGAAGGGTTGTTGTCGACGTCTGATTACGCAGCTGTTGCCGGAGGGCGAGCCTTGTCGGTGGCACATTTTGTAAATATATACGTGTATACAGCACACACACACAGGCTCACAGAGAGAGGTTCTCTGTTCCTATAGCCTCTAAGCACGAGTGAACCGGAATCAAAGCCGGAGGTCTGAGCGGCTTATTTATGCGCTGATTGCTATCCCCCTGTCGTTAGGTATCCGCTAGTGCCCCTCTCTGGCCGCGCTCGTGGGAACAACCCTCGCCGAAACAAAATGGCCGCGTGTGGTATATACACTTCATGCCTTGTGTACTCGAGGCCTGCTCGGGTTATCCGCGTGATGAGCTCTAATGAAGGCAGCCGTGTACGGACGTCCGATGCAAATGCTTGGGCCAATGGCGTGCTTCAAGGAACAGCGCCCAAAACTGCAGCACGACAGAAGAATACAGCGCTGACTCGGAACAATTTTATTGCGTAAAAACGACGCACCGCGCGCACACATATATATACAGGGTGTCCCACATATCACGCAGCATGAATAAAAAAAGAAAAAAAAAGTAACGTCGTTATAGGAAGCACACCTATTGCATATCGTTCACAGTATACTGGGTAGTAGCCGCTGCTAATTTTTTCGTTATGAGGTTTAGTTCTATTGACAAATACCCACTTATGAGGTGTCAATGAGGCATATGCAGGCATATTGAAATGGCATCTAACACCGCTGTCTTCAACAACGTACTAATTGCATGCTAGTTTTTCTTTTCTTTTTTTTTCGGCTAATAACTAAATCCCGTGAAATCTAAAAAAAAAAATGTTGCGTGGCTAGATTGCAGCGTGCGTCAGGAAGCAGCGCCTTCAAGCGGGATCGCTGTTAGGTAGCAAGTCAAAACAATTCACTCCCTATTGTGTGGGTGCCTCGTGTTATTTTTAATATATTTTGCGGACGTTTCTTTTGCAGCCGGGAAATACGACACATAATTAGTACGTTGCTGAAAATGGCCCCGCCGCGTTGGTCTAGTGCATGGCTAAGGTTCTCGTTTGCTGACCCGCAGGTTGCGGGATCGAATCCCGCGGCTGCGGCGGCTGCATTTTCGATGGAGGCGAAATTGCTGTAGGTCCCTGTGCTAAGATTTAAATCCACGTTGAAGAACCCCAGGTGGTCGAAATTTCCGGAGTCCTCCACTATGGTGTCTCTCATAATCATATGGGGGTTTCGGGACGTTATACCCCACATATCGATCAATCGAAAGTAGCGCAGTAATAGGTGCTATTTAGGCATGCCTGTACGTATGTCTCATCGACATTTTCAATCATTAGGTGGACACTTGTCGAGTTCCGGTGTTTCAAAGCTTGCGCTACTTAGTGCAAGCTTTTCGATAGATTTATTAATAATAATATTATTGTTATTATTTCTCGGGTGGTACGTAGCTACATGAGCTAAATGAGGTGTCGGTTAGCTTTGACTTCGTTGTAACCTAGGGCGGATTAATCGAGTTTTTGATTAAGTCGTTATCGCGCTGCCAATCGCTGGCTTCCTGGCTAGCCCGTTCGTTGCAGTGATAATCTCGTAAAGGCGTTGGTCTCGGGCTCCATCCCTGTACCAGCCCATATTTTTCAGCAGTAGAGAAATTCAAACCCTTGTAGTCTCATGACAGCGAAACAAGTGGTTCTCAATATCTTTTAGTTATCTTCCGCAATGCCGATTTGCAACGTTGCAGGTCCACCATCTATATATTGTGCAATACAAACCGAGACATTCAAGGAAAGCCACGCGTTTTTTTTTTTTTTTTTGAGGATGTCGAGTCGAAGACGAAAGTGTTTACTCTGCGCGGAGTGGAGCGATATCGAAGAAGTGCGTGCCGCTGAACTGAATCGAATTCGATTGCCCGCTTCGATGGTTACCGTGCTCGGCTGCTGACCGGAAAGTCGCAGGTTCGATTCCGGCTTTGGCAGTCGAATCTTGATGGAGGCGAAACGCCATCCAGTGTGCCTGCTGTGCGATGTCGTCGCACGATATACGGCTTCTTTGGCAAGTGAAGCGCAAGAATATTTTCGTATTATTCGAGGTAGTCTGTGCTGTGTGGTCTATTCTCGCCAAGCCGTTCGAACGTGCCGGTTAAGCGTCTGACCCCTCGCGCTGGCTGCTTTTCTAGCTCGCTCGCATGCCGGCCGGCTGTTGCTTGTTATCTATTTTTTTCTTCGAGACGAGGTGCGATTCGGCGGGCCGTAATGAGGTCCCCGCGTTGCTGCATACGTGAAGAACTGGCGCATCAAGTCCTCCTCCGTGGCTGCCGACTCGGGGGCGCGCACGCTCTCCGTGCGGGACGAGCACAAGCGGGTGGCAGTGTTCGGGCCCCCAGGTGGGGGCCTCCCGGAGTCTTCCCGCAATTAACGGCGCATTGGTGCGGGGTCACGTGCTCGATGACTCCCGGCGACCCCGTCCCATAGCGCTCGCGCGTCGTTGTTCCCACGTCCGTGTCGATGGGCCTTCCTATGTTTAGCGCCCACATCGCTCGTCGCGTATACCGCAATTTCGCGCGACGCAGCCCTCGGCGCGCTTCGGATAGATATCGGCTGCTGTGGAAAGCTTTTCGTCGCGTTGGAAGTAACTAAATAAGTAATTGAATGTCTAGCCTGTATAAGTCTGTATAGTGTGAAATTTAGAACTGACTGACAGTGAGGCCAAGGAAAGTATTGGGGATGTCATTAGTAGTAATTAACTGCAAATGTGAAGACGTGGAAGAAGAGGTAGCATTTCGTTGAGAAAAAAAAAAAAACGTGATTGTTTGCGCGGAGAACTAAAGACTGCCATTTTTCTGTCGCCTCGGCACGGGACTTTTTCTTATAAAGCGATGACCTTTTATATTGCGAAGTCAGCTCATGTTTCAAGGAGAGCTTTGAACAGTTTATCGATTAAATTAAACAGTAAATCCTTTCAGACCGTGGTGAGACGCGCAGCTGTATTGTCGAACGATCAGTTTCGGCTACGGTACACGTTCGCAATGCGTGTCCAATGACTGAGACGATTATTTGCTCCCATCATTCCTCAACCAACAAATCAGCGTGCATGCACTAGAAGCGGCTCTTCGGTATATTCTGATGGGATCGCTTTGGAATACTGCCCTTGACTTCCAGTATTGACACCGCACTGACCATTTGAAAGTAGAGTTGCTGTGTATGCTGCCTTGAGAGTATAACCTAATCAGTATCTATATATATCACGACGAATTGTGATAACATATAATGTCCTGTCGCTGAAGTTTGCTCAAAATTTGAATTTTTTTCGTGTGGCGAAAGTAGTTCAGAAGAAAACACCTGTTTAACCGCTTCCCACCACTGGTCACTCGCATCGACTCGGAAAGCTCTGTAAATGCATGCTGTTTTTCGGCAAAGCGTGTTTCTGTTACCATCTCCCACAAATATATGTAAAGCAAATCAAGAAAATGTGTTTTAAATCCTACACGTATATTGCGTAATGTTTTCTGCTCAGGTTGACGCAGGTGTCTGGTCTGCTAGCACTTAATCGCACAATAATTGCAGTATGTACATGCTGCAATTGTCGTGCGATTTGGTGTTACGTGTATGTCATTATTATTTTATCAGTAAGTCTTCTTCAAGTTATCAGCGAAACATACCAAGTCTTGGCCTATCTCCTGGCATGGGTGTATGTTGTTCTCCCAATGGTATAGCGTTAAGGGAACAAACTTACGAACCTGGCCAGTTGCATGAGCGGCGCCCTAGGGATTCCTCATAGTGGATGGAGATGTTTTACTGGAAATGATGAAAATATGTGTCCTAAACTTGTCAAGGTCATTAGCAAGTGCTGCCCCCTCCCCCCTCCACTCTCCCGAGAAAAAAAGTACTGACTATTGGCCAAAATGAACGGACGGACGGATGGATGGACGAAAACAAAGAAGCCTGCCTTGTCCCCATCATATGTCCATTTCAGAGTTGCCTGCGCTCTCTTTGCATGTTGCGTCCATGTGTGTGTACACGTGAAAAGTGACGGTTTGCCTTCTTTTTTTTTTTTTGTGCAGGATACCCCGTGCCGGGAAGTATGACACGCTCGGCGGGACCTCAAGTTCTGCACGCACCGACGAGGCGCAGCAACGCGTAAAGGGTGAGCGCTTCGATATCAAATCAGCTTGCACCATGGAGCGCGGAATGCATAGTGCACTGCATGCTCTTGATATTGATCATGCATCATTTGAACTATCGACCGTATCGGTAGGACTTTCTCTTACGAATGCTGTGGTTTGTACGAAATTGATTCTGTCAGTCGGATCACTTTTCGGGCTGCTGCCACTTGTGCCAATTAGGACGAGTCACGTTGGTTCCACCGCTTACTGATGAGCTTGGACTCCCGTGGGCGGGTATTATTTAATCTTATGCCATATACGTTGGAATAATCTACGGCTTTACTTTTTTCTGCAAGCGTCTTATAGCGTTTGCTTATTGCCAAAGGCTTGAACGGCTCCAGGTCGCTAAAACTTTGATGGGTGGTCGGATGGGTGACACGGATGCCGTGACCGTTCCATTCATAAAGTACGGTGACTGATTCGCCACTATCCTGGAAGAAAAAAAAAAGGATATTATGTTCTTATGCGGTGTGTAATGGATTATCTACTGGAATTATTTTGTTTTCCTCTCAGGTGAAACTCATAACAGCCCATATATCTACTCCTTACGGTTGAGTAACCTGAAAGGCGTGACCACGTGTACGCGTTGCATTGTGCCAGCGCGTGGTGTTTTGGCGCGTCCTCTCTTTATGAAGAGAGAGGGTGTGCATGTTTCTCTCTTTCCACAGGGAGATGGCGTGGCGCCGCGCCCGGCGCTGCAACGGGTACGTGTGGTCAGGCCTTTAGTTCTCCCTCTTTTATGTTTGCCTATCTCCCCACTTTTGCGCCTTCAACCATCGTTTACTTATTTACATCGTCGACATAGGTTTGCCTTTGCGGTGCTCGCATTGAAACCCAAGGCGTTGTGTTATGCACGCTAGTCCCCAAGCATATAGCCGTAAACATCTTCGCGTTCATTTGAAAAACTTGCTTCGTCGTTTCCTCAGCTTTCAAACAGCAAGGCCGCAGTATACGTTCGTCGTCGTCTTTGCTGAACCTCGCTATACGTCTTCGCATTTTTAGGGAACGCGAGCTCGCTTCGAACAGCACAGCGCTTCCCCTTGAGCCATCGTAAACGGCATTTAATCCCGCTACCACGCCGTTTGGTTGGCACCCACCTCTCTTGCGCGTATTATGTCCCTCTCCCGCTAATCCGCCGTGGCATCAAGTGCTTATCTCACCGCCTTTGGTGATAGCAGCATTCCCCGGTGCGATTGTTTGCGCGGTTTATGACCGTATAGGAGAGCTCACAAAAGAAGTCTGGACACATTTATGGGCCAGCTTGTCTCGCCAACGATGTGCTTAGCCGTGTCATTGCTATGTGGCGTGTCCGATTTCGCGGATGTGTTTGTTATGGCGCCGATGTGAAAACGCCTTTTATCCGAAGATCGCCTTCCGCATTTATGACGGTGTAGTTTGTTTTTTTCTGATTGTTTGTGTATTTACACTAGCTTTGATACGTCGATCGAGGCTTGTCATCCGACAACGTCAGCAATAGGGTGCTTGGCAACGGCCATTGGATGATGTGATGATTGCGAGAAAATGCCCTAGGTGACGATCGTGACGTGCGATGACGTCCCTTGTTGTCCATTGACGTCGAGTATTTATCTATATAATAAAGTTTTGTACTACTACTATATTACCATCGGCTGTAATATATATAGATGGATGGCTTCACTCCGTCCAGCACGTTACGTCACACGTTCGCCGTTTGTGCGTGAGGTTTACAGCCATTGATTTGTAAGGGCTTATTTCGCACTGAATTATTATTTACGGCACATATTGTGTGTATAGGCATAACCGACCTTCTATTTCCCAGTTTTCGCTGAAAACCGCTAATTGGTGGGTGACCGTGTCAGGACACTTTAAACTGCTACGAATTCTCGTAACTCCGCCCATTCTCCACGCGCTGTCGTTTTGTTTGTTTCGTATGCTGTAATGGGCGTGGGTATATTTGATGGTTACTTCGAAAAGTGTCAGTTGCAGGGCGGCGGAGCCAAGAGAAAAATAATCTAGTTCTGAGACGCGTCTCCACGGAATCTTCCACTGTCGCTTTTGTAGCGCGTGTGCAGCGAAATCATTCAGCGACGCGTGCATTGAGCGGATGCCATGGCAGCTGCTTTTACTTCCAGTGCACGTGTCGTTTTTTTGTTTTTTTTTCTCCGCCCGCAAATCGCGTTGGCGTGCTCCGTAGCTGAGTTTGCCCGTCGTCATCGTTTGTGTAACCTAGAGAGAGCCACGCTGTTCTTCTGCGCATGCGTGCTTCGACGCCGTTAATGGGGATCGCACTGCGCCGGTTTGAGGGGTTCTTGAGAGGTATAGCTTATCTGATAATTCAAGCGGGAGCATGCGATTACTGGCCACGTATGCGCTGCTGAAGCTTGAACGGCTGAGTATCGATCTCTTCGGATTTCTTCGATAAGCATCACACACCTACCGAGGCACTTCGCGAAAGTCTTCGGCATTTGCGTGCGAGACCTCTGATAAGACCGCCGTGAGAACATTGCGTTTCTTCCTGCTGCAGTCGTATGCCCATTGGGTTCATTGCTCGTGCAAAAAGGTCTCGCGTAACACCTCTCCCGTGTGTATGCGTGGCGTAACCGCGCCGCCTGCGTTGGTGTACGGCAGTACATAATACGTACTGTGTCATTGTGCTCAATGGATTGTTTTTCCGTTGCAACGCATGCGCCTGCCGAGCGTAATCGGGTGAGGAGGGTGTAACCTTGAGACGGAAGTGCGGTCAGTTTTTAGTGCGCCACGCCACGCTCGGTTGCACGGGCCAGCGATTTCTTTGAGGAGCCCGACGCGTCTTGGCCGCACCGTTGTGGAGGTTACGTAATTTCGCCGATTTAGGGCTTCCGTCAACCTGCTCGTGCTTAGGAAGAGAAAAAAAAAACAACCGTAAACAGAGGTGATGTGCTCGAGCCGACGTTTCGGCAAGTAGACTTGTCTTCTTCAAGGCTATAGAACTCAAACTTCAAGCCAGAAACTTGAACGTCAGCCTCAGTGCTAGAACTTCAAGCTAGAACTCGAAGTTACAGCATTGCGGAAGTCAAGTCCACTTGTCTAAACGGTGGCTCGAGCACACAACCTTTGCTTACGGCTTTTTTTTTTCTTTACAAGCATTCATTTCCCGCTTTCTACCGGTTGTTAGTATATTACTAATTAGGCCAAGAAACTTGGAAATGCATGTGCTCCAAGCTTCGCGGCTGCACATGCTTCCATATTTATGACGTTTCGTCATATGCACTTTAGAAATGAACACAAATAGCCCGTGACTGCGGTCCGTGAATGGTGAATTGTCCCATCTATACCGCCCTATACAGATACGCGTGCGCAGCTCTCGTTCAGAGAGTCACGCCTCGTACGACACAAGGACCAGCAAGAAGGTTCTTGTTGACTCAGTCGCTGGATGCTCGATTCTACAGTTGCGCTCCGCGACCATCATGAACCCCTGAACCAGCGAGCCGTGCAAGGGCGTCGGCAAATCTTGCGAGGTCAAACCAGCGCGAGGCACTGGAGCTAGGGTGGGGAAGGGGAGTTTTATTAAAGTATGAATCTTTAAATATACTGGCACACATATAAATGCATGCACGAACATACATAGAGTATGGTGGAACCCCTTTTTTTCTCTCTCGTTCGCTAGAAATTTGTGGCTACGCATCTGGGGCCAGGAGTCGCGAATGCAGAGTGGCACTATGGCAAGCGTGACTATAGCAGGTGTGACTAGCAGGTGTGAACACTATCAGGTGTGAACGTCTGTCGTCTTGAGCCTCTTGTTTGTCGCCTGTCGCGGAAGTTAGCGCAACCGGTGCCGTAGTCGCAGGTGTGATCCAGCGCTCGGGTACACACTCGGTCATGTGCGCGCGTGGCCTACTCTTATTTCGCTCTGAACCTTCCCGTGTGAGTCGGCTCGTTAGTGTGCGTGATGTGGCCAGCGTAGACTGAAGTCTCTCGGGACACCGTTGTAGCGGATCGCGAACGATTCGTTTTACTCGGGCTTTTGTATACACATGACCGCGGCGTTGCCACTTGGTGAAGCGCTGTGTTTTTAATAGCTTCTAAAGTGGGGATCGTTGGACGTGTTTGTCGTGCGTCTTCCGCGAGAATGGAATGGAGCGCGAAATGAACGTACGGAAAAGGCTGAGGGCGACCTGGCACGATGCGTCTGTTCAGAAGCGACGTCTTCCATCATGGCCTCTGCTGGTTCTTTGTTTGCCGCGCCTTCTTCGTACGCGCCGCCTTTGGCTTGATGTGTACTATAACGCTCGTCGCCGACGGAACAATGGAAAGCCCGGATGCAGTATACGTACAAATACGTGTGCGAGGTTGCTGTACAGCTCTCGTCGAACGAAACCCACAGACGACAGCGGGACGACGCGCGGAATTTCGTTACTCGGCACGTGCCCGCTCAATATGCGAAGAATTTGTCGAGTCGAGGTTTGGAGAAATGCTGTAAGAGAATGTATTACCGCGAGAAAGATAGCCATCGCAAACAAGGTTTACATGGCCGTTGCTGCATCATACAGCTGTGTTATTAAACGTACAAAAAAGAAAAATGAAGCACGGATGGGAATTCTGAAACCCGTTCACCGTTTTACTATCGCTCGAAGTGATAGTAAAACGTAGGAAGCATAAAAAGATCATCGTAGTATCATTTGTTAATTTAGACATGGAAACGTAATTGAAAAAAAAAAAGCAAGGGTCTTAAAACTCGAGGTAAAATGTCGGGTGTCCGAGAAGAAAAAAAAGATGGAAAAAAAAACTTGCCCTGTATCTGCATGTTACACTGCGAATGTCGAAAGACGATAGTCTCGCGTATGGAGAGAGTGAACAAAATGTTTATTTGATGTTCTGCGCAAGGAAATCGGTGAATGCTATTCTGGAGGCCCTGCGTCACACTGTCTCGAGCGCTCGAGCGTTCAGCGGAGGTGAATGAGCGCATCAAGTCACGTCACACGGCAGACATGAGCGCTATCTGGCAGTTATCTTGGAAAACGAA